AACATTACTAGTAGCAAGACACACTTACTCTTCAGCTTCCCTTTTCTCTTGCCGTTTTTGAGAACGTTTTAGGTTCTTCTTCTGTGTTGCTGTCAAACTAAATTGAAAAAGCCCTTTGTGGTTAAAATCATCTCAAAAAAGCTATTGAATGTTGCTAGAAAGTATTGATGTCTGACAGTTTTTCCGGGTCAATACCTCCCAAGTTTGAGCATAAACTACGTCGCCATAAACACAGATTTGTAAAAATTGACACCACCGTTGTATTAGATAAAGATAAAAATTTCTAATGTTTGGTTCCAGAAAATATCCAGACCCCCACCACGGAGGGAATTGGAAATTCCAGGGGGGTGGGGGGGTCAGAGGTCCAGGAAATTCCAGAAGGGAGGGGGGTTGGACCATAAAATCACTTTCCAGGGGGGCAATATCATTTCCTTTTCGACCTGAGTTCGAACATTGCTTCTTACCAACCTGGTAGATCATTTTTAGGACATAAATAACTTGAAATATATCACTTAAGATTGTTCCTTTTGAGCTTAACCAGGTTTCCTTTCTTCCAAAAGCGTTTTGGATGTAATTTCAAAGGAATTAGACCAACTACAACTCGTTTTATCGCATCGTCGTATGTTCGGCCGCCGTTACTCGTTACCAGTCTTCTTCAAAACATCAACGCGTGCAACACATCACGCAACACATCTCGTTGCGTCAGTCGATTGATAGATCAGAAGAGTGGCAATTTTGCCTCACGAAGCTCAAGCTATACATTGTAACCATTTTAGAATGTAGAGTTTTTAGTCTCCCTTTCATTTTCCCTTAATTTTGTGGTTGAACGTGTGGCATGTTCATGATCGAATTCTCGCTGAAATGGTGTCGATTTCACCAAACACTTTATATGGCCATCACGCATCACGTCGCATCAGTCGATCGAAAAACAGTAAATTGAACTTGGTTTCCCTTCAAGTACCTTCAAGATGCAAAGGGGTATTCATTGTTATCATTTCAGAATTCAGAGTTTTTATTCTCCTCTTTGTTTTGCATTAATTTTGTGGTCGTAAGTTTGACTTGTTCTGCATTCCTGCACGAAATTAATTCTATCAACATTACGCCCTTACCCTGGTCCCAGAGGCTTTTCTTGATTTTTCCTCGTGAAAGAGATCAAGAGCAAGCCGCGAAGCGGCGACAACGAGTCGCGAAAGCGATGGGAGAGAGAAAAACCTCTGGTTACCTTGGCCTCGAATCTCACTTTCATGCAGACGACAGCTGTCAAACGCGTCAAATTGCTATGAAAAGAGTGACCAATGGCAATTTAGCAGACACGTGCTTATCAGCCACTATTTTTCTAAGTGGGGGTAGTCTATCAATCGGGCTTATTATATTGTTTACTTCTGAAGAGCGCGCCGTTCGCGTCGATTCGCGGGTATTCCCCCCAAAATAGTAATATTAATATGTATTCTGGCAATCTGGCTCGCATTTTGGTTTGGCGGCTCCATTTCCTTTTTTGTGGAACAACGGCGCTAGGAAGAGTCATGCAGCACAACAAACCCTTAAGGTTCGGAATGTAATTTCAGAGGTTTTTGTTGACCCAATGCCAAAAATAACGTTGGTTAGATCTTTGAAGATAAATATTGGGCGTCGCAGGAAAATGCAAGCTGCACCGAAAATGATTACGTACATGTACAAAGTTGTATGTTTTTTTTTCCTACAAGGAAACTTTCATTCCGTATTCGGAAATTTATATTTTGCTGCCCTAAACAAGTTAGTTTATTTAATGGAATGACAATATTGCAACAGAAAATGGTAAATACATCGAGACACAAGATTCTGGTCGTCAACGTCTGGACTGCTCAAACTGGTTGCTGAGACGCCACGGTTTCGCAGTTGGCGGATATGCAAGTCCACAAGAGACTTGAGAGCCGACAGACAACCAAAATTATTGCATGGCGAGGGTATGAGTAGTAAAGGTACTTGCAAACATCAGGTAACGTCTGAAATATTATATACTTTCCATGTCCGGTTGATAAAATGGTGAACACAGCCTTTCGACTCAACGCGGTGAACAAAGCTTTATTTTGTTGCTCAGTGAGACTCAGGAAAGTGCTCATCAAGTACCGAGGTCAAAATTTCTTCAAATATTCTTTCAGGAACAACATCCATGTCAAAATCTTGAAATATGGCGTGCCTTTACATGCCTTGGTCCCGTGCAAATGTTATTGCGAGTGCAGCATACAAACAATTTTCTTCCCTGGTAAAGAAAGGCAAAATGAGGTGTGGAAATCCTCAGCGTCCCCTCGGTAGTTACAATTAAACGAGCCAATCAAATTGGTTTGCGTGTTTGAGAAAAATATCAACCAATCAATGCCCGAGGGTCAGATCCTGACCCTGTCGTCTGCATGAAAGTGAGATTCGAGGCCAAGGTAACCAGAGGTTTTTCTCTCTCCTCATCGTTTTCGCAACTCGTTGTTGCCGCTTGGCGGCTTGCTCTTGATCTCTTTCGCGAAGATAAATCAAGAAAAACCTCTGGGACCAGGGTATTACGCCCTTGAGACGAAGAACAAATCGTAAGCTTGCCCTGATTAAGGTAAATTCACAAATATAACCGACTTATTAACTTTCTCTGTTTCATTTAAAGTAAGAGATGAGCAAAAATTACAGATCAGGTTACTTTGTGGTGGTGTAGTGTGTTTTAATGTTGCGAGATCACTCAAATAAATGGAAACTGAAGCATAGAAGCTTCTGATGGAAACCGTTGGGTACTAACCATGTTGCCTCATTCTTCTACTTTAATAGTCTTTCTTCGTGAAAATGAACTTTTCCAGAGGGGTTGGGGGGTCTTTGTCACACTTGTGGAAATTCCGAAGGGGTGGGGGGTCATCAGTTCCCTGCAAAAATGGAAAATTCAGGGAGGTGGGGGGGTCCTTAGTGAAATTCCCTCCGTGGTGGGGG